TGTTGTCAGTTACTGTATATAAAAGTTCAGTCTCCCGTACATCGTCCATTATGCCACCAACAGCGTTAATAGCAAAATTAATGGTAGATAGTTGACATTTTCACCAAACAGTTTTTAAATTAGTATTTTTTTTGCTATAATTTTCACATTTATTTTAAATTGTTTTAGATTTTTATGAGGTAAATTATAATTGACTAGAAACTAGCAAGTACCTAATAGATACTCATATAATAACATAATTTTGGAATTTTCATATGTACTTTAAGACTGTATTTTAAAACTTTTGAAATTTTTTGTAGTTATTATGGATTGTGCTGCGAAAAATTATTTTTTTCAAACAAAAATAACTCTTGTCTTATAATTTTTTTAGCAGATAACTTTTCTAAAAATGTTAACATATCAAAATCAAAATTCGAAAGGTAGTTTTTGGGTTATTTAACTTTGTGAACTAAGGATTAAACATAATAAAAATTTATGATGATGGACTATGCCGTTATGATGAATTGAAAACGTTAGTAATTTATATTAATGGTCCAAGTACCTACAATGAAAAATATATTTATTTTTTACTTGATATAAATATTTTAATAGCTGAAAAATTACTATTAAAATTATAAATAAGATGCATAAAAATTTTCAAAAAATATGCATTAAATAGTTTTCTGTTAAAAAAGAGGAGTTTTTTGTATTGCCATACTACACTCTTTAAGTAGAACAAAAATATTCAAGAATTTAAAAATACAATACTTAATATTTATAAGTATATTTAAAAATTCCAAAAATCAGAATTTCAACATGTTTATTATTATAAATCAAAAAATGGGATGAGCATGTTTGGCAAATCACTGTATATTATCATTTTTTATTCAAAATACTATTTCTTTTTAATATTCATACTGATAACAATTAGTAGACTTAAAAGTCTCGAGGAATTAAATAATGTAGAAAAAATCTTTTTTTTAAATGCCGGTAGGCCTTAGGTTATATCATTTATAAAGTTAATATTAATTTATAATATGTACGTGTTATATTACAGCACCTATTGTAATAATATTGTACAATGCACCTGTACTAAATTATACTGTCGTAATTATAGACAGCGGCCATTAACATAATAAATGTATGTAGCTCATATAAGGACATAATATAAATATGATGTATTTTTAGTGCAAAGTCACTAATATAGTAGGTATGGGTAGAGGCGTAGAGCCCGAAAGCATATTTTACCGTGGCAACTGGCAACATAATATTATATTATTATTATTATTATTATTATTGCCGCGCGTGCGAGGAGTCCTGGCTACAGCCGTCATAAGTGGAGTTCGACAGGATTGAGCGTGTGCGTGCGACAGGCGAACGACTAGGTATCACAAGGACTCCAGTAACGAGTAATAGCACTAGCTATAACATGTTTGTTTAAGTATAATTATTATAGAGTTTCCGAGCATATAGAAAATGTGTGTTACCTATATACTTTGCCTTGCGATATTCAACTAGCTTTGTAACGACTGAATGGGGCTAAGGCGCATACAAACCGTATGAGCAGTTTCGGACGAACGTGCGCCATCGTACCTCACAGCTGTGAGTTGACGTTTGCGGCCAAATTAAATTTTGGATCTGGGTCATTAGTTTAATGGAGTTGTACGAGGGCAAGACGTCATAGGTTTTAGTGCGTGTTACTCAATACTCGTATAATATAATACACGAGAGTGATTCGACAATAACCCTATCCTGATGGCTATACTAGGTACCTATACGTATTGTGTACACACGACGACACGTGAATGTGTATAATTTACGTATCTATATATAGTATAATATATGGCGTTTAATATATTATTATGACGTATGCACGTATTTTATTTATATGGCTTTTGATTAAGTGGTATCTACACAAAGATTCTATGTACATATACTTTTCACTTGTCAGTATATCAATTCATTTTTCAAATTAACATACTGAAAGGAAGTCATAAAAATGCGAAACTGTTGCATGCGTTGTTTGACAGTTGTATTGTATAATATTATTTGTTTAGAAATATTTTGACATCCGTTCAAAAACAACAACATAAATATTAAAATAATATGGTAGTATAAATATAACGACACCCGACCGTCGACGTTTTCCGACCGAATATAATATAGCTCGTCGTACGCAAAACAAACGAGTACCTATATAATATCATCTTATATTAATATATCGATTTAATAATTGTATACCTATATCATAAACTTGTAAATTTCTTCTTAAATTATCTTTATACATTCATGATTACTTTGCAACGTGTAAACTTTGCGTTACTAACATCTCTACCTATACAGCAATCAGCAGAATATCAATATCTGACCTATTATGTCATATCATATTATAATTGTTTATACTTATGATAAAAAATTAAAAAAACACTCGTTAGTCAATCGTCACTTTCAATGCTATATGCAAGTACACTTTTTATACGCTTGTAGTGTCATTTTTATCATAAACCACATTAGGATGTCGTACCCACATGTTTTGTCACTATCTGCAATTAGGTATATGCAACGCATTTATGCATAACATACCAATATTTAAATTCAGCGTTCCAGTTTTATTAGCTTAAAAAGTATCAAAGTGAATAGATACAATCTAACTTAAAGCTAAGAACATTATTTGTGTCCTATCGTTAACTTATTAGTTATCATAATATTTTAATTTTTAAGTGAGTTTTGTTAAAATGTAAAATATAAAAATTTAACAATGCTCATTGCTCATAACTTACTTAAAAATTAAAATTTTACGAAAAGCCAACAAGAGAACATAGATTATGTTCATACTTTTGAGTTAGATGATAGGACAGTTCATTTTGATATTCAAGTTAAAAAACATAAAACTGCGTAATGCAACAATACTGTAAATAATATTGACCACTACAGACATTGTCGCGTAACCTAACTTAAAGGCTAAATAAAATTAAACATTATAATTAATTGAAATATTAAGTTGTAGAATATCATCATTAAAAATTATTAATTTTTAGATTACTTTATGATAAAATACTACTACTAATATAAATACATGTAATATTGAATCATAATAATAAATTCATACACAGATAACACTGATGTCAGTTTGAAGTATGTTTATTTATTTAAATAATCTCTTAATTTTCGATGTTCGATATCTATTAAATTAATGAGTTATAAATAACTGTTCAACTATATTATAGATAAATATAGGTCAATCGAAAGTGCTTATCTAATTATTAATTGTTGGCATAAAATATTTTCACTGATAAATAACAATACATTTTACTAATTGATTGCTTCCTGTTTGTAAACGTTACCAAACGGAATAAAATATATTTATGAAAAAATTTTTTCATTGTCTATGTATTATAACAATTTATACTTGTGATATGATATTAGGTAGGTAATATCAATATTTTGCATAGTATTATATGGTACTTTGTACTTACATTCGTTTAATTGTCTACCTGCAATTTAGGTCGCAGATAGCTCATAAAATGTAAATAAAAAATATGTTTTTCCTCGTTTCAATAAACATATATTATTAGTCATTATCAAATTTTTGTTTTATCATTAAAATCGTTAAGCGCGTTCATTAAAATACCGTTAAAACAATAATAGGCACTTTATTTGTAGTTGATCAATGATGAATCAGATGGTCTTCTCATACTTACCTTATAAACATATTATTATACAAACTTTGAAATTAAAATTTACAATAAATTGAAATTAACTTTTTGACAAAATCGGAACGTTCAATTAATAGCATAGGTATACATATTAAACTGAACGAGGTCACAAACTTCATTTGTGTATTATTGTGAGGTTGAAGTATAATTATTGTATAAGTAATAAAAAAAATTAAAATTACGAATTATGAATTTGAATTTATCTATGTTGCTCAGTATAAATTATGTAAATAAATAATAACACAACCTTACAGCTATTTATTATGAGTCAGTATAATTGGTACAAGGTAATAATGCTATAGATCATATCGACAAGTCTAAAATACTTTGGAACAATTTTAATAATATTAACATGTTATTTATATTACATATCATGTAATATACAATTCGTTAAACATATAAATATGAATGCATTACAAAATTAGTCAAACCAATACATTAATAATTAAATGCATGCATTTTAAGCAAATTAAGCGTTGATAAGAATATGTACAATGGTATAATGGTATTATTATATACTTATATAAGTATATAATTTTATTAAATTATGTAATGCGTTTTTGATCAACGAGTTTGTATAGTTAAATCATATTATTGTCGTTTTTCTTGAACCTGTGAACAGATGTAACATCCAAGTATGTTAGAATAGGAATTGAATTAAAGCGTTTTGGTAAAAGTTAATAACATTGTCTAAAACCTATAGAGTACATTTGAATAAGACTTATTTGTTGGCGTAAAATATATAATACAAAATTGGGCGTTAGTTATTAAAAAAGCTATTTTTAAAATTTTAAAATTTGATTAGTTAGTTAATTTTTTAATGAACTTAAAAACTAACTAGAATAAATGTTCATTTTAATAAATTACATTTATTTAGTTATTTTGAAATATAACATGTAAACAAAAACAAAAAAATATCACTTTTAATTTAATAATTTAGTATACCTTGATATAAAACATGTAATTTACCTAAAAAATTATAATGTGTAATAATAGAAGCATGTAGTTAGTTTAAACTATTAATAAAATCATTAAAATTATTGAAAAAACTTCAAAGTTACACACATAGGTACTACAATAGTTTATTATAGATGACATCAAAATAAATATTAACTTTATATTTAAGATTTACATTTTTTTGTTTTGATAACTTTTAGCTTAGAAATTATAACGTTTTGAAAGTTAACAAAACTAACTCTAGCTATTTTTGTCATTAACTTGCCTACCTTTAATATGATGTATATGATGAACGTGATAAATAAATGTCCATAAATGAAAGGTAAAATTAACAGAAACATCATAGTATTTAAATGTAATATAGTAATATTATTTTATATCCAATATATTATAAACACATACACGCACGCACAAAAGTACACAAGCGCGTGTACACACACAGAAATAATAAAAAGATTAATACTAAAAGACAATAGCAATATAGTAGGTAATAAAAATAAAATATTTCACACGTCCATACAAAATAATAATCACATTATCTTATAAAATTTTGTCTGATGATCCATTGTTGTACAGTCTTAAATCGAAAGATCAACTTTTTTTATCGAATATTCATCAAAAATCAATCATGGTAATTATTACAAATTACAAAAATAATAATAATAATAATAATAATTAGTATTAAGAGAGCTTTTCAACTTCTTGTCTAAGGATCGTACTGGTTTTGTACCTTTTGAGGTTGATAGCCCCAGACAAACTTGTTGAAATATTCGCCAACTATGTACAAGACTGATGTGTACACAAATGTACCCAAGAAGAAAAGGCATCTCAATGGCAGGTTCAACTGAGTAAGAATTGGATATACCCACATATGGCACTGACTATACACAATATGAATCCTGAAAATTATAAAATAAAGGCTTTTTAATTTTTACGTGTAGACGAAATTCTTAACTTTAAACGATAATATAGTAGATAGTAATCTACTATATATTTTTATTTCTTTTACAAAAATAATAATTAACTACTAAGTACTAGATTAAAAAGACTTGTATTTATCGTATCCACAAGACTTAATTACTACAACCTATGTCGGCACTTGTATACATTAAATATTTAAATACTATAATATTAATATAATTATATGCTTGTGAATAAAATTATGCGAAATTAAGTATTGTGTCCGGAGTTTTGATAGGAAAAATTAGTCTTGATTTTGGCTTTATTCGGTTATGGATTATCCGATAAGCGCTCATCCAAATTTCAGTCAGCATTATATCATTTATATCTTTTAGTTTATGGCTAGACGAAATTCTTTCAGGAAATACAGTAATAAAATTGTTTTAGTATTGTATTTGTTATTCGTTCCTGTTGAACTTAGTTTGTTAAAAGATAAAAAAATTTATCCTATAGAACTGTTTAGTCAATGCTGAAAATTAAATGTTTGGGAATGCATTAATAGTTAAGATATAACATATAGGTTCTAATTTTGAAAAAGAAATTCTTTAAGTTGCAAATAAAGAATTTCCCAACTTCATTTTTAATTACATATTAGTTGACAATAATTATGTAATTACCAGTCAAGTCTGGTAGAGAAAAATTGTAGGATTATGATTGACTATGGAGTACAAAATTAAGAATTCGGAAATTTGAAAATGATTACATTACGTTTTTTGAATTGAGTTTTCTCCTTTCAAATGAAATGATAAATGTGTTTTTAGAATTAATCATTTATCAACCTATGAATTCAAGAGTTACTGAATTTAGTGATTATTTAGTCAATGATACATTGACTATAATTGTACAACTTTTCCAACAATATTTTAAATAGCTTTGGAATTGTGTTTAGAGAACGAATAATGAAAATGAAGCTTTTAATTCTACATTCAAAACTAAGAACCGATCGCTACATCCCAACAAATTTTAATTTTTAAAGTGAGCTAAAAATATCGAGATTGACACATGATCAAAAATAAATTAAGTAGATCTGGAAACTAATCAAAACATTGAAAGTATTAGTTAAAAATTTAATTAAATTATTGAATTTATTTAAATAATAAAAAATTATTATATAATAATAATATATCTAAAAAGAAATTAATTTTATAAACATAGCATTCCTCTACCCAAAAATTTCGCCATGGTACTATACACATTGAGTTATAAAGTATCTACATATTATATTTAAAATACAATTTTTTATTTTATTATTTTTTTTATTTTTACAAGTAATATACAATCTGTATCATTGATACAATAAGAATATATACTAAAAGTACATTCACAGGAAAATAATTTGATGAAAGGAGCCACCCATTGATGACACTTTCTGAAAATACAATTTAAAAAGGTGATTATATGAACACTTTTAGGTTATGTAGAAATAATTCATAATATGTTATTTTATCGTAAACATAGATAAATGAAATATTTATAAGCTGCAATTCTTGTTATTCGTTAATATTTTTTGTTTTTTAAGTTCATATAATAAAATAAGCATAAAGTAACGTAAATAATGAAAAAAAAAACCATAAAACTGGTAATGGCATTTAACGTATGCAATAATTACTAAAGCATGAATTTGTATATATTAAAAAAACCTACTTATGCAAATATTTATGTAGTTATTTTTTATAAAATGTGTAAATTATTTAACAAAAAATTTTTATTCTAAATTTATAATAAAAAAGAAAAGTTCTAGTTTAAAAATGTAATTAATGAATAAGAGTAATTATACATTATATAACATATACGGCGATATCAAAAATCATTTATCTATTAATTATCTTATATTATACTACGACGTAATCTATTACAATTTACGACAGGATGACCATATTTCCTGCATAATCGTGATTATTATTAATATAATAATATGAAATAATTAACAAAATATGTAAGCACTTATTCGTAAAATATTTAAGAAAATACATCTACTTCAAAATATGTAAAAATATGTTATAAATAATAATAAATACGTTTTATTTTAATTAGGGTTTTTTGAAACATGATAATTTTTTATCATAATTAATAAATTATACTTTATTTATATAAAAACTTACACCTTGCAAGTAACCGCGCAATTATGGCATATTTGATGAAAATTTTGAACTATTTATATTTTCATAGAGTTTATGATTCATAACATTAATTTTTAACTTTTTAAGTTATTACAAGTACATTTTATTTTCCATATTTTATCAGTAGATACTAGATAGTCACTTAATAGAAATTATTATACTTACCATATTAAATAAGATAACTGCAGACAAATATGTGTAGTCATTCCGGAAATACGGGATGGATATGGGCGGTAAGCGGTGACCATTTCCAAGCAGGTGAATACGAATACAAACGTATGCATTGTGTGGTTCAGCCAAATTGGAAAATATAAGTCTATGTCTTTAGGCATCACCAAATTGCGGTCGATAAACCATAGGCTCCAAAAAGTCGTAGACACAAACTAAAATAATTTTAATAATTTTTAATTTGGCTAAATTGTTTTTCTATTATAAATAAAATATAGTGCGATCCATCAAGAATTTATAGTATACTGAAAAAAATTAACAAAAGCAATAAAATACAGGAATATTTATACCAATTTTCGAAAAAATTGAATTTGTATTATAACATACAAACTTATAAATTAGTAACAATAATACTCATATATTTGAACAGGATATAATACTATATAGTATATAGTTAATCGTAAATATAATATTATATTATATTATGCGATGTTATTCTATAAAAATATAAAAATAAATTTTAACAACTGTATTAATAAAAATATAGAAAAAAAATTAATTAATTTTAGAATTAGAAATAAATTATAAAATACCCTTAGAATTAGAGGTTGGATTTAGAACCATTTTTTTTGTAAGCAATGATTTAACACTAGATTTAAGTATAACGTATAATCTATGACAATGAGCTACTTTGTTACTTAATGACAAAATTCAATACCAATTTGCTGTATTTTAACAGAAGAGGTCTGCAAAATTCCTGATTTCCCAAGTTTTTTTTAACTTTATAAAATGAGTTCAGCGTCCAACGTTATTATCGTATACCTGCCATTTAGTCCAATATTTTTAGCAGAAACTTATTTTAATATTTTATAATCTTGAATAATTTTATTTAATTAAAATAAATTGTTCTATTATATGGTTTTAGATTTAATAAAAAGTAATAATAAATATTGAAGTAATTTAGAATTTGAGTTGTTTCAAGTTTGAACTTTTCTTTTTATATATTTATTTTTAAAGCTTATAAAAAAAATAACATATAGCATAAGAGTATCTAAATTTTTAATATTCATAGTTCTTTAAACAATCGAATAAATATTATAATTTGATGAAATAATGTTTCTTGATTTTTTTTTTTAAGATTTATATATTATGTAAACATTGCTGATGATGGCAAAAGCACAAAAAAGTAGCAAGTATATAGTTTATTTGCTTTTATCCTCGATTTATTTTTAAACATATGTATACACGATATAAATAACTTTTCAATGCTTCAACTTGGGTTACAAACATTACGATAAATTCAGTGGAGCCAATTTTACATCTATTTATTTTTGAAATGTATGTTTCAACAATATGTCATACTTAGGATATTTGCCAAACACTGTGACAATAATAAGGAAGAAAACACTTCCAAAAACTATTATTTATAATTTTGAACCTTAAAACTTAAACATTTGTAGATGTAATAGCTTCATTCAAATTTTGATCCAAACGAATATTTTATTTGTGGAAAAATTTTATATTAGTTATTAATACTTTATCTAAGAAATTGTGGTCAATATCCGACAAAGAATAAATTACTATATACTCTATTTATCATAACATAATTAAATTTCGATGGTTTGAATTTAATACATATATATTAACTATTTAAACATTTAGTATATGAATATATGAATATATGTAAAAACGTCCAAATTTCTATAGTTATGAGTATTATGACTGATAATAGTAGGTACCATAACTTTAACAAGTGTAACACATTAGTATAATTTTAGCTAGAAATATTAATCGTATAATCAGTAGACGACACTTAGAAAAATTAAAAACACAATTTATGATTGGACGAGTCTAAAAAAAAAGAGAACAAAATTGAATTTATCGTTTCTGAATGGGTCATACAAGGTTAATACACAAGTTGCTAATGGTCTATAAAGAGGAACCTCCCCAGTGTACAACTAGACAACCTGTGATGTTAATCTAAAATTAAACATATAATAATGATAATACTATCAATTTATCAACGAACCCAAAAAAATATAGCATTCCACCAAACATAGACAAAATGTAGAACTCCAAACATTTCAAATATGATCACTCTCCGAAAAATTTATCTTTATAATCAAATTTTTACATACGTAGTTATAAGTAAAAAATTAATTACATAATTATTTCTATTTGGCTATTTATATATTCAATTAATTTTTATTATTTTATTAACCAAATTTTACAGCACTTAATAATATTAAAAATCTAAAACGTAATTAGTATTTTATGTGACTATCTGACCACTATTTAATTGTAAAACCTTTTCACCGTTATTGACTTATTGTATATTCTAAAACTAATAACAATAATAATCTTTGACATTGATTTTTAAAATTCAATAAAAAAAGAATAATATACAATACAATACATACATATGTATAATATTTTTTTTGAGTATTTGATTAATTAATATTAAATTAGTTATTTGAAAAATAGTATGAAATATGATAACCAAGGTAAAGCACATTTTCTTATTTTTCTTTATATTATTTTGAAGGACATATACAATTATATAAATGATTAATGAATCATAATTAACAAACAATAACCATAACCCAAATAGTCACGAATTCACTAAAGTACATACTCATATATTAAACATTTTTATTAAAGTTAGTAATTTATATGTCATGGTGCAATTATGAAGATATTTAATTTTTAATTATTTAATTATTATATCTGAGTTAAAATGTTCTGTATTACCTTTTCTTTGCTTATTTCTAGGCTCTTCTATAATTCTATTTTGTTTAAATATTCAAAAGTATATTATATTATTAAGTATACTATACTAGTAATATCTATATTTTAGTAGATTAAAAATTCGAAATAATAAGTACTTAAGTACTATACTATATAACATAAATACTATTATTGATAATCTTTAATATAAATACAGCATAATTAATTAATATTAATTTAAACGCAATTTGTTACATTAGTTTAAAGAATTAGGCTATTGTAAATTGTGTACTTGGTGAAAAATATCATATTGCAGTAATATACGTCATACTATGAAGTGAATACTTTAGACTTTAAGACTTGAAGTTTAAGTTGTAAATACAAAAACTATAGCAGTACCTATATAATAATTATAAGTTTAAATATATTTCAAGTATAATTTATTATTGGGCAGGTCACTGTAAATTGAATTCAATAATAAATCATTGCTTACAAAAAAACGATGCTAAACGGAGATGGTCTATCAGCTTATGTATTTTTAAGGATATTTTATTATTTATATTGCTATTAGTGATTTATTTTTCAACTAACTAGTTATACAATAAAGTTGAATTAATTTAGAGAGATATGGTGTGTTTTCTCGTTGGGTAGAGTATGAAATTATTTAATATTTTTTCAATTGACATATCAGAGATCAGTATGAATAAATTAATGGTATAAATAATAGATTAAAATTATCTAAATATTTCCAAAATTGAAATCTGTATAGTAATCAATAATATACGTAGTTCCGAAGAGTTATTTTTTAATGAAATATCTTATTTTGTACAAATTTGAATTTAAAATACCTAAAAAATTGTGATTTTATATTAATTTATAATTATAACTACCTATAAAATAATTTACAAATTTTTATGATGTCAAAAATTTAAATTTAAATGCTTATAAAAAAAAATTAAGCCAGTGAATTTTTAAATCATTGTAAATAAAACTAATAATGAATGCGTGTGCTAATTTTTCAAACTTTTTTTCATAACATTTATGAAAAAAAATCACAAAATGAGCCAAAATATTTTGAAAAATATATCATATCTATACATATATATATATATCGTACATGCTAATATGAATATTTTGCAAACATTTTAAGTCTTTACAGTCATAACATTTTTAATTAAAATAAAAAATACCAATAAAATAGATCTAATTTACTGTCAAAAACCAATTTCAGATTTAAATATCAAAGCATTTTAGTTTTAAAAATGTGACCATCAAAAATAAATTAAATAATGGGTTAGGTACTCATGTATAATAATAACATTTAGGTATAAACGTTTTTAATAAAAGCGCTTAAGAACTAAAGTTAATAATACCATAGTTAAAATAATCGAAAACAATCATATTTTTCTTGGCCGATATAACAGGAATCTTTCAAGTTAAATAAAATACAAGGTTTTAAATAAAATTATAAATTATATAATTTCATCGATTGTTAAAATAATGAATATAATCCAACTAATTAAACAACTTTTTTATAATATATATGAGTTTTAGTGATGATTTTTTTAGGTGTCTATACATAATATTGTGTTAAATATAATATAAGTATAATATTCAAAAAATTAATTTACTAGTCTTTTACATAGTTTTTAGAACAATTTTTATATAAGAAAAAATGTAACAAAAGTTAATAAGTTATTTTATTATATTATAATTATTTAAAAAAAAATTAATTAAGCCATATTTTTTTTTAGTGCTTTTGTTGGTTTTATATAACAATACAATTTATTATTTTGAAAGTTAAACATAGAAATTAAATTCAATGGGTATAAAATATTTAAATTAAGAAGCCAACTTTAGTACCCAATTAAAGAAAATAGTGAAGAAATAATCAAAGGAAATCAATAGAAAAGAATCTTATTGTAGTATAGAAAATTGTAATCTCTCAACTGGCGAGGATGTGTATCCGAGGGAGGAATGAAAATAGAAAAATTCTTAAACAGTCAAACATATATTATAAAGAAGCTTCCTCTAAATCAACAGTTTTAAATCGGTGAATAATGGTTCGATGTTGAGTCATGTGAGTTTTAGAACTAGGTGATAATAAACATTTGATTATTCAAAAAAAAAAAATTATATGATATGGTAAAAATGTATTGCATTCAATAATATTGTACGAAGTAAATAAAATTAACATAACAATACAAAATTAGTTAAAAATTGGTCCGATTTTACACATAAGGTATACTATTTATCAATAGAATTTCTTTCAAACATGCGTCACAAAAATAAGTAAAACTTAAATGAATCTCGATATCAGTATGGTTTAAGATTACTGCTCTGAATAGAACGTAAACGTTTAAAATAAGTTGAGGAATGGTATATATAAGGGCGGATTTAAGGTACTGCGAACTATACAGCCGCATAGGACGGCAAATTTTTAGAGGACGGTTTTTTATATGCAGCAAAATTCTATTTAATATTTATTTTGTTCTTGTATAGAAAATACTTAATTTTTTTCTTGAATTTGTTAATTTCAAAATAAATAATTAACATTAAAACTACTTACATAACTAAATAGTTATTTAATAAATTTATTATTATTTTTTTCTTGTATAATAAAAATAAAGAGAACATATTATATTTGAATTATAACGTTTTTATTGAATTTTAGTTAAATGAAAAAATAATTGCCTACATAAAAATTATTATTATGTAAGGAAATTTTGTTATACAGTGGTGATTTTTTTAAATAAGGGCGGCAATTTTTATTTTGGTAATGGAGCGGCAAATTGTTAAATCCACCCATGGGTGTATAAGAATAGGAAGAGAAAACAGGTGTCATTTTATAAATAATAATAAATGGTAACAACATTCACGTTTAAATGTCATGCATTTATTGCAGGTATATGTATACTATAGGTATGTATTCTTTGTCCCAATTTTTTTTATAATATTGAAATTATTAATTAATATCTATAAATCTTGACACTAGAAATATTAAGATTATGATTATATTAAAAGTTTTACTTACCATACTTAATGGAAAAGCAATGCTGGCGAAGAAAAAGTATTTCACTTGAGCTAATGTTTCCAAGACCGATGATTTAGAAGGGAAAATCAACGGAAAAACGTCCACAATCAAAGCATATAGGAAAAACAATGCTTGAAAACACTAAACAAATAAAATAAATATAAATTAAATTAAACATAGATACCTATTATTACAAGTAGTTAACAATAAATTAAGACATAAAAAACATAACTTAAAATAATATATATTCATCAAATTCTTGATATTTAATACGATTTTTAATAGGAATATTGGTTTTACTATGTTATTTTAATTGTATTATCTAACGCTTTTGAATGAAGAAGTGCTCAAAAAATGTCACCTCTAGAACTTGTGTAGAAATTGAAAACCAAGTCTAGGTGGTACCTTAGAAAAATATTTTTCAATTTTATTAATAGTTTATCTAATCTACTGTTAAGTGTAGTTATTACTAAGATTTACTCCAGTAATACGTATATATTATAGTGTTTGCTCTGAATTAGTTTGAAACAGAGTCGATAATTTTTTATCTAGGGGAAGCTTAACTATAGGATCCTTCAATAAGTACCTACGCTAATGCTATGGGTATCAAATATTTTAGGCTTTTTCAGTAATCTTCGTACGAATTGCAATTTTAATACATTGTTAAATGTAACATAATAATTAACATAATATGGTAATAGGCACCGTAATCATTACTAAGTATAAGACAATGATAATTGATTTTTTACTTAACACAATTTTAAGACAAGATCTATACTTAACAATTTTAAAAGTTGTCAAATCATATTTTATTATATTCAATAGTAATAGTGCTATTAAAGAATATAAAGATCGGGACTATTGTTATTTATAAGTTATAATTTTTTCCTAAGAACTAACCATTTAAAGTAAATGTATTTTTAATTAAATGTTTAAAAACCGTGTGAAACTAGAATACAAGTATACAATATCATAAACAAAATGGTACATATACGATTGATTAATCGAAGGTTACGAAAAATGCGTATAATATGTACTACAAAATCGGTATTATTTATTAATATACCTATATGTAGACGTTTATTTATTATTTCACTAAGTAGCTATGCAGTATTGCAGTATGCAGTATTCATACATACGATATTTATACTTGATTACATACAATTTACAAACTATTTTGATCTGTGATGAATAAAAAAAAAAATGCAATTATACTGTAAACGAAACAAATCACTTCAACACAGTAATAGTAATATACGAAGAATTTATATATATATACTATGTTTATTATACGTAAAATATATCCTAAACGGCTATACTATATAATATGTATTTTTATTTTTTTCGAATGTTATTTTGTAATTCTATTATTTCATTACTTTAACTGTGTTATTATTTTTTTTTTTTTTATTTGTTAGCGCATGCCCACACTTCAGGAGTGTGTTAATAAGTAATAAGTACATTGCAATTATACTGACCAACTAAAAAAAATTCGTTAAATTTACAATAGAAATAACACCGTAAACATTTGGAACCAATCTTAAAACATAATTTAATCAGCAAATAACAATCATGATTTATGATTATAAATTATAACCTTAACGAGGACACGCTGTAAAAATAACAACATTAATTAATGATATTTATAATAAATTTACCCGTCTGTTTTTAAAATTTGAAATATATAACACTATATTTTAGGTAAGTTGGTTTATGTTTTATAATAATAAACTATTATATTGTCTGTAAATCGTGAGTGTGTCCTTGGAAATTCTTAAATCGTAATATAATAATTTGCCATTCATTCGTCTACTCAAAACGTACATATTTATACATAGATAGTTATAATAACAACTAATAAAATACCATTGAATTAGGATGAATAGAATATAATTTACCTCAACTATTACATTTTATTCATTATTATTTATTAATAATTATGTAATAATATACGCATGAATAATAGATAAGTATAGTTATACTATGAAAAATAATAAATTTGTGACATATTTATAAAATGTAGTAGTACCTATAGCTAAATATATTAATAAAGAACAATACAACTGTATGCAATATTTTTATATTAATATACGTTACATTGGTCAATGTTATACTTTATAATAGCACAACGATGTATCAAAATTAGTAAATATAGGTACAGTTAGTTTGAAAATTATTCCTAATATGAGCGTAGTTTTATATTTAAGAGTAGTAAAAACTAGTCAATTTTTAACTTTAAAATTCCTATATTTTATAATTCCAAATTGATTTTAATAAATTTTTGATTATGTTATTATAAGTAGGTTGTACCTACATAATTTCCATGTAGGTATATCGTACGGTAGGTAAGCAAAGCTATTGCAATTTGCATTTATAATTAATTAGTAGTTATAATAGTCAAAAATCGAAATAGATTAAATTTAAACAAACCTACATAATAATTTAATAACAACAAGTAACAACTGATAATAAAGTATATTAAAGTGACTATGTTAAAAAAGTATACATTATGCAGATCGTGTTTAATATTTATTATTATTACATTGTGTTTCTCCGTAGATCATTTATAAAAATAATATCTATTTATGTTTTCACTTAAATATATTTTGTTATTATTCATTTAAAAAAATAAACGAATAATGAATCAAACTTTTAAGTCTGATTCTCGTGTTCGAAATCAATTCTTAGTGTATCAAGGATAGAAGTTGAATAATGTGTTATACGAGTAACATATTCTTACTTTCACTATATAGTCGTCTTACTCGTTTTTTGCGTTATGGCAGTTGTTATTATTATATAAAAAAAACTGTTACGATACGAAGAATGAAAATTAAAAGTATGTTTTTAAAAAGTAAAATCACCAGAAAGTTATAACCTAAGTTTAACCTAAACAAATGTTTAATGGTTGCTTTTAAATTTTAATTCCTTAATATAACTTATCAAAACTAGTATGAAAAAAATAAAATAATAACAATAATCTCATAATATACGTACCATAATCGAACAAAAATCACAGGACACATAGTAATAGTATATTATTAAAGTATAACTTGATTAAATAAGTTCATCCAAGTAATTTCTATAGAGAGTATCTATACTATGTACATTTACTTATATTTCTTTAAAATATATTAATTTTTTATAACTCATTAATAATTAAGTTTGAATGCATACCCAAAGAACTATATCTTAGATACAACCACAACTAAAATTATCTATATATGAAACTTATATAATATATGTATAAATATAATTTGGATACATAAACTTGGCTTCAAACTATTAAATGAAGGGTTTGTTGAAAAATATAATAATATAAACTATCAAATCAGTTTGAACACCGTATAATGTTGAACAATTTACAAATCGTAAAACACATTGGACCTTGAAATAGATTATTATAAATCATAAAAATGTTGAAGTCTATTGATTAATTTTCTCACGTGTGTTACATTTGAAACTTATAGAAATTTATAAGCTCATAACTTGACTTATGATTAACTTATATTTTAGAAGTTTATAATTAATTATTATAATAGCTTATTTATTGAATCTTTAATAGGTACAGTATTTACCATTTATGTAATTTTCCTTAATTAATTCTCAAAAAGTGACCACAAGATTTTACGGTTTGTGATCATATATTACCATTGAACCTACATGTAATAAATTTTTTCATTTAAAATAAACATAAGTATACAATATACGTTTGTATAGCTATAATATTACATATTATATATATCGAAGATTTAATGTTATATCAGTATAAATGCACATCTTTAAATAAATACCTACTCATGTTTATTCAATACTTCAATAATTATTTTAATTTAAAAATTAAATTTTCAATTGATGTAGTATAATATTGACTGTGCATAAGACGTATTAGTTGTAATTTATAAGTATAAAACACAATTACATTAATAAGCTTCAAGATAACCCATCTTTCTATAATTTATGTATGTAGAATATATGAATAAATAAATATTAATAGTATTATTTGTTATTTTCGTCAATGTTTCTTTTTTTAAACTATTGAAACACTAACAAATCATGATTTTACTTACTTAGGAAAATTTTATATATTCACGAATGTACTTATATTTGTATTATAATTTATATAAATTTATAATACCTATTTATTATTTAAACTTTAAATTTTTTTAGTTATTTTGCTAGTTTAATACTTTTATTAAGTATTGAACTTATACAATTGTTTACAAATTATTTTACTTAATTTTAATCATTATATAACCTCCCTCCGTTTTTAAACCTTATACTATAAGCTGTATTATATACACACTACATAAAGTTTAATAACTCAGTAATTAGTTACTAATTAGTAATTACTTATTCAAATTTTTATCCACATCAATTATTTTTGTTAGGTTTTAGATTTAAGCATATAGGATATTTTTTTAATATTAAACTTCTATAAATACTATCATTAATTTAAAAAGTATCAACATTTAAAAAATATATATATATATATATTATATATTTACATTAATTGAAGTTTTTCTAAAACAAAATTTAAAAACAATATAATTTTTAGGTTTTACTTAATTTAAAGTATCTATATATATTTTATTAGTTTATGATTGTTAAAATAAATAAAACAGTATTAATAAATAACCTAAAATAATTTAAATAAAACTATATAATAGGTACCTACATATTATCTACATTAAATATTTAATTAAGTAATTTAGTTATAAGATATTTTAAATGATAGCGTAGGAGTATTTACATTTGTAACACACATATAATTAGGTACATTTGAAAAACAGTTTTTTAGAGGATTTCGTTTCATCTAAAATTTTTAAAGATTTTTTAAGACAGATTTGTTTGCTTTTTCTGAGATTTTACATTTCTTTCCCCTTACTTTTTAGGTTTTAATATAATTTTTCAACAAATGGTGGAAATTAAAAAATCTATAGGTACATTATAGAAAACATTTATAATTTATAAAGGTACATACTTAAGAAGTACTTTAGGAATATTTTAAGTTTTTATTATATTGTATAATTTAAAAATTTGGTTTAAACAATACATTTTAAAACAAATAACGAGTATGTGGTAAAAAATTAATCGATTTTATAATGGACGTTTATATCTGTTATAATTTTTAAATCATATTAGATTAAATTAATTTGTTATTTAAACATAATATAAACATATTTTTAAATTGCATCAGGCTAATGAACAATGATCTTTCAAAATTCTCTATACTTTAGTAAACAAATATTATATTTATCGATTAAAATCTAAAATCTGCAGAAATTTACAGGATTATTTCAAAGGTTTAAAATATGCGAGATTTTATAAACTAGAGTCCTACATTACTTAGGAAACAATTATCTAAAATTTCCGATTTTCTCGTACATAGATAGATAAATTATATGAAACTTTTGTGTTTTATAGTATTTACTTGGTACTCAAAAGATAATATTCTTTTTTATCTGAAATAGTGTTTAAAAAGTTAAGAAGAAACTATACGAAAATTTCATAATTTTAAATTCGATATACATAAATATTTTAACAATAAGATACAACATATTGTTTATGGAACTTAACATAATAGTATTAACTTCTGATTTGGTAATATTCTGATTAAAATACTTTAACTTTATTTTTTATTTATGTCTGTGCATCTTTTGAAATAAAAATAAAAATGCAATTAGAAATTTCTGATTGAATTTAATTTCAAATGATTATAGGTACTTAGAATTATTTAAGATTAGTAAATATTGATTAAATATATACTTATTGTACTTGGTTTTTTCGTGGTCATATTTAAATGGATTTGCAGCTCGTGGTCGAGGGTACTATATATTATATATATTAATAAAACTCATAAATATAAATAGAGCTCATATAATCTATAATCTTAACTTCCTAAAATTCTTTATTTAATGCTCATTTGATAATTGCATTATTATAAATAAGTTTCTAAAATATATACATAAGCCAAAGCCTAACTCCAAAAGGGTTGATAGGGGAAGATTTGGCAAAAATTTTAGATTTCAGTAAAAATTACTAACACATTTTATAAATATCTATTATTTTCTTAAACAACTTGTATCGCACTAAATGTTTATTGTTTACTAATAATTTGGATAAATATATTGAAATTTCGAGTAAAGACAAGTCATTTTTTTGGGGGGTGAGGGTTGTATGCATTCACACTTATACGAGCGGTTATTATCTTGTAAAATAACAAATGGAAAAAAAGAAATATTAAATAAGTTAGCACAATAATAGGTATGCACGATAGTTGATAATGGTTTTAAAATAATCAGCAAAAATTTAAATTCGAAAATTAAAAACCTAAAATGACGTACCAACTCGCTTATTGTTCTATTATAAATTCAACTTTAACATTAACGAAAACGATTTCGAAAATTTTTAAACATTGAAAAATGAAACGTACCTACACATAAATGGTCCATACACAATTATTTTTATGTGCAACAAATGTACAGAACATGCGCGTGCAAATACATGTAGTATCGATAATAAAAGCACCGGGAACAGAGGACATCCGGATATATATATAGTCATATAGGTACTAGATACCTATATATTGTAATGAATATGTTTAGTAACTTAAATTCGATTTACTTACTCCATCCAAAAACGTGAGGTATTTGAATTTGCCGCCGAACGCGTCGTCGATGGGATTCACGTGCGTGGGTATGTTGACGTGAACGTAATTATAGTATACGGAGAAGACGAACGTGATACTGCCAAGCACGTGCACGGCGATGTTGGCTACCGTTAAATACGACGTCAGACTCATGACGGTGTTTTGGGTGTTTAATCGGATATACGGACAAAAATAACCGGAGACGGGTCTGAGCGTTGCGTGTATATAATGCGATTTAATGTAGATGTCAACAATATTTATTATATCGTTACGAGCAGAACGAAATTCACGCCCGCACACAGGGCGCGGAGTCAGCGGTAGGTAACGATAATTTGGGCCGCGACGACGTGTAACATCAATCGGAATAACATACACAGAAATTCGAGAGAGAATCGTTAAAACGGGATAACGACGAAACGATCACACCCCACAGACGGTCGAATGATCACTAAACAGTAAATGACCGTCGCAACTCGCAAACGCCTTCGAATAATAACAGTCGTTGGCGAGCGGCGTCGCGTTGCGCGCGCTCATGTTTATGTCACGCGTGCGTGCGCGCGTGTGTGTGTGTGTGTGTGTGTGTGTGTGGGCGTGTGTGCGTTTGTAATGTCTGTACGAGTGTGTGTATCAGCCGTCACAATCGTCTCAGGCGCCGTGGTGGTCGGTGCTAGCGAGCGGTCGCGCACGCGCGTCACGAGCAGAAGGGCAAGTCCCGTCGGTCTGTCGCCGATCGTCTCTTTACGTCCATTATATTCCCCATCCGCTCGTCCGCTGTAATGACTTTGTTATATAAGAAACATATAAAAGAAGTTAAATAATATTATAATATATTATGTTTAATATATTTTATAGTATAATAATTAACGTATAGGTAGTAATGGTAGTATACATTAAATGCCGAGAAAATGAGTCATTAAATAATTACTAATAATTATTAATTGTGTATTAACTTAACTCTATGCGTGACGGTAGTGTGCCGTGTGGTACACGTTAACGGAATAATATCAAGTCCATTTCGTGCTAAATAATATACTTCAACGTTCAACAAAATCGTGGCGTTGTTAAAGATAAACAATAATTATAATATAATTATAAACCTTTTTAAAACTCCGTCGAGTTCCATCAGTGGGCTTTTCTTCATAAAGTGTAAGATTTTATTAAGACATCCGCATGTTGTCTAAGTCTTATAAATTAAACAATGTAGCAGATTTGAGTTCAGATGATCAAAATTTGTAATATTATTTAATATCTTTTATATTAAAAAGTGAATTATTGTTAAATAAAAAAAAAAATTTTAATTAACTGAATTATCACTTATCAGTAGGTTGGTATGTAAAATATTACCATAATTTTAAATACTTATAAGTTATAACTCGTTTAAAAATTAAAATATCGCAGAAAATCAACTTGCTAACACTGCAGATAATGATCTAACCTTAAAGTTAAATAACAGATAGTTTACTCTAATATTAAAGCTAACAACACAAAAATGGTTTTACTGATTGCAAATGAACCGTGTTCAACGTTTATAAGTTTGAGACAACATTTGAGGTAAAAACGCAACCACACTGGTTGCGTGAGTATCGGATCACTGTGGCCGGTATTAGCGGACATTTTAGCGGTCCCGATGAAACAATATAGTTTGTTTCAGTATTTAATAATTGATTATAAATTTACAAATATTATAAGATCATAATATTTTGATGAATGAAAAAATATTCACGAAGTATATAAAATATGTATTATGTAATTTTAATAAATAATAAGTACAATAATTATTCTAAAATTATCTAGGGCACAATGTGCAGAAAAATAAAATAAAAAATACGAGTATACCACGTACTTATTGTATTATCTACTATCTCATATTTGCGATCGACAAACTACATATTATATTAATCTTTATAAATAATGTAGTTAGTATATACAGTTAATGATTTATTGCTAAAAATTCGCGGGTTACCAGTATAAATATTTAATATTAAATTTTTCAACGCCTTTTTGTGTATGGGCAGATACGACAATAATAAAAACCCTATCGTAAAGTAAAAAGTGTGATTCGCTCGTACAAATTAATTACACATACCTACATTTACTATATAGATCAATTTGTATTAGGTAGTTGATTTAAAAAAATTTACTTTGAATTTTTCAAATATTATTTGTAAGATAATATTAAGTATGTAATTACGTATAAAATTGATATTTTTTAGATTGCTAAAAATAAATAATAAGCATCAAAGTTGTGAATTATAAATTTTGGTTGATCATTGTTTCAACATTAAAAAGATAAATTATAAATATTTATTTGTTGTTGTTGTTAAAGTCGTGCTTCTGAATTCTGATACTTAAATATATCATTGGATAACACGTCATTACTTTTTTTTACATATAATATGTACAAAACAAAGAAGTAATTCAACAAAAATATCTTTATAACTTTAATATATTTGTGGAGTAATAGGTACTAATTAATAGTAATAAAAAAAAAAATGTATAAGTATATTTATTTATATTGTAAGCAATGTAAAGATTAAAAATAAGCATTAAATTTTGTAATATATTTTTTTTTTTAATATTGAAAAAATGTCTATTAATTTTAATTATGAATTATGTTAGAATTCTATTTATTAATAATTTATTAACTTCAAATTTTTTTACAACGAAAAATGCAAAATACTAAAAACTTTATTAGGGCTCTAAGCTTCTAAATTAAAAGTGGTGACTTTCTTCGACTAGTTTCGCCACCGAGTATACTGGCATGAGTGCGAAACATTTTCTTTAATGTATTATTATTATTTATGCTTGTTGTACATTATTTATTTTAATTTTGAATATTTGAATAATATTCATCTTATTGTGGATGTTATTTAATTATACAAAAAAAAAAACGACAGCATTATATAAGTTACGTATATTATTATGTTATTATGCGTTTATAATCTTTTATAATAATTTATACCTACTATAACGTCTTTCTGTTTATATTAATATATAGTAATAAACTGGTTCAAGCCAAAACTGGTTTCATAGTTTTACGCATTTTGTTTTGCAAATCTGCAATGTTGATCAACGGGTTAAATGTGGCGTGATTTGTAAAAAATTATATTATACCAATTTCCTGATGTATATTTAGCTTAATTGTATACCAGATTTTCGTACGTATAAAGTAGGCACTTACGCTGTTTTCTATAACATACCTAATATTACATTACTCGTGTATAATACAAAATCTCGATTTCCAAATCTTGCAGGCAACGATATAAACATGGTCGTTGTAATTTGTAACAAATCGTAATAGGTAAATATATTTTTTTATTTGATCTTAATCTGCAGATATAGATAAGTTTTAAATGGGAATACGCAAGAAGTACCTACAATAAATATAACTAGATATTTTATTTTTACGTCACTTAAAACAAGTTGCTAAAATAAAGCCAAGATATCCGATGGACCTTAACAAATTATATAGTCTAGGTATACGAAGACTTAATGATAAAAAACTATCATTTTTATCTTAAATTGTTTTTTTGTTTACAAACAACTACAATATCAGCCCACTGAATGATTAAATTATCTATAACAATTTAAAGTGGAAAACTCATCAAATATTGACTGAACATCTACTCGTCATAACAACAAATATAGTGACGATAGTCGATAATAATTAATTCAATTTTACGAACATAATAATATGTTATTGAATATTGATAATATACAATAAAAGACAACTTTTCGATATATATCTATAAATATGAAATAATATCTACCAAACTAACTTGTTGCCAATAAAATTACTATTACATATAAATTATCCACCATAATATAAAGTAAGTAAATATATAAAGAGCTCATGTAACATCTCGTATAAATATCATGATATTGTTAGAGTGCATTTTTTATTATTTGAGAAGATAGAAACAATTTTTTTTAATTTTCTGCGTTTAAGGGAGCCACCGCATATCCTGCACACTCCTTGGCTACACTTTATGAATTACTAGAGTATTTATATAAGTATGAGAAAAAAATGTATAAGATTGATATAATTATAATGTAATAATCAAAATAAAAAATAATATAACATATAACATATAACTTTACTATGAGTATCAGAAGATCCTTGAAGATGTCAAGAAGCACCTAATTAGAGAGGCTTAGATAGTTAGTCTGGTCTATACGCACTCATACAGGTATAAAAGGAAGATATCCTTGACATTATTATTGTTGAGATTTTTGATCTTAAGGGCGCAAAACGTATATTTAGTGAATAATAGGTATAAAATATATACTATATATTGGAGTGAATACCCGAAATCAGTTTAAACCAAAATTTACCAAATACCAAGAAAAACTCGATTTTATTAAGTAGACCTAATTTATGCTATTGACTACACTAAAAACGTGAACAATTTTATTTATATTTAGTTTTTACAAATGACCTTACAGTAAATACTAATTTTATTTTAATTTTTAAATAGACAATTTATTGATATTCTTTTATCAGATATAGAATAATTATATTAGTTTTTATAGTTAATATAGTGTATTTAGATATATCAATACAGTGACATAGTGATGGGGGTAATCGAGAGGCGGTCGTGTCTCAGTTTTTTGGGAGATGGTGAGTGTCATAGGGTGAATGGGAAATAATTTAAATTCATAATTACGACTTTAGGAAAATAACATAAAAAAGATATTTTTTAGATACTTTTTAATAGTTGGTTGATGAGTGAGTGGGTGGTTATCGAAAATTATAACTGCCTCTGAAATATTTGAGTTTGCCCCGCCACTATATCAATAGATAATAATAAAAAAAATGCAGTTAATAGTTACAATTTATTGATATATTTAACAAGTAATAAATATCATACTGTTATCTTTAAATTAATTATTTTAGTAAAGGTGTTCAATGGTGATTCGATAACTGATATATCACGTGTATATATCTTAGTGAATAATAGTCTTTAATTGATTAATCATAAATATTAATCAAAAAATGTAATATGAGTTCATCAAAATACTAATTTTAAACATTTTAAATTAAAAGAACGAATTTTAAATTTATTTATATATGTATATATATATATATATATATAATATTCTCATTTTTAGGGTTCCGTACTTCAAAAGAAAAAAACGGAACCCTTATAACATCACTTTGTTGTCCGTCCGTCCGTCCGTCTGTCAAGAGCGTTTTTCTCAGGAACGCGTGGAGGTATCAAACTGAAATTTGTATATGATACTCAGGTCTACTGTCCCTGGAAGCTGTAGAAAAATCAACCTTCTAAGCCAACGCAATCAAAAGATACAGCCATTTAGGCCGCAAATTTCCGCAAATTTTCGAAACTCGCACGGGAATCAAAACCTACAGGGTACTTCCTGTGAACTTAGAATCTTGAAGTTTCGTACGAAGTCACGTCTTATAGTACAGATATAGGAAAAATTACGAAAACCGTAAATTTTTAGTTTCATCATATAAAAAAAAAATATTTTTGAAAAATATTTTTGACAATTTTGAAAATTTCAAAGTTACTACTCCTTATCTCATGAACGCGATGAGGTATTAAATTAAAATTCATACTAAATACTTAGTCTATAATACCTTAGCTGTAACAAATCAAACTTTATGTCAACGCAATCGAAGAAATAATAACAATTTAAGCCGCATATTTTCAAACTCGCGACTACTTGCGGAAATTAAAACCTTCTCTGTAAACGATATTTGATGTTTATTGAAAAATACAGAGCCATAAATAAAAACTTACTTATATACCTACAGGTTTGTACGGAACCCTCGATGAAATCGCGGTAACTCTGCCTTACTTGATTTTACTGGTTTTGTTAAATAAAATAATAGTGAATTATTTAAGGAAATTAAAAGAGTCAAAAACATATATTAGTTAAAACTTCAATGCATCAAAGCATCGAAAATAATTCGATGTGTCAAAGCCAGAGCTAGGGATGTTGAAGTTGTTATCAGGACATTGAAAATATGGTAGCTTCATGGCTTAAAGATAATAAAACATTGAAATGATCACTAACGGTCAGAAGGCTTACCATTTACAGAATTCATGAAAAATTGAGCTTGGCATTCTGGTAATAAACAGAGCCCAAACAAAATTATACTTGGAATAGAACCATAAGTTTGACTTTCAACAACTTCTTTTTATTTAACGGCATAAAATGAAAAAGATTTAAATTAAATCTTAAAAAAACAATGAAACTAGAACACACTAAAGATAATGTGTTTGAAAATTCTACCAAAAAACATTTTTGGATATGCAATTATGGCATTTGATTACGATTTACAAGTAGGGCCCACCATTTTGATATTCTAAAAAATATTGAAAAATTCTCAAAAAAATTCAAATACAAAGAGGTAAAATGAACCTATGGTGCTCGTAAGAATTGAACTATTTTTGTCACTAATCATCTATATTCAATATTCATGTTACCGCAGACGGTTTTGGGCAGTCGATTGCATATAAGTTACGGACGCGCGACGATCGTGACCTACTGATGATGACAACGCGACTGCAACGGACTGCGAGAGCGACCCGTGCGATACGGCGCACTTAGATGATAGAGATGGCGAACGCGGATTACGGAGACTTGAGCGAGTGCAACGGCTGGAACGGATAGCGACTGACGGGATATCCGGACGAAAATTCGATAAACCAGTGCTTTCGTTCGTATTCGATACGTCGTTTTCGTTCCGGTATACTCAGCCAGTCGAGTCCGAACGATCGGCTGCCGATGTGCCCGGAAACGCTGCGACCGGTCGCAGCATTGCGATTACATAATATTGTGGATTCCCGAATCTGCTTCACTGCTTTTGTAGCCACCGCAGTCACTGCCATCCACGGACACCGGTGAGCCGTGTCCATGCCCAACATCCGGTTGATGTAATGGAGCTATCCGATCCTTGCGTCCGTCGCGCCCGCGACCGGAGTCGACAAACCAGTCGGGCGGTCTTAATACAAATGTCATCCTTCAACGCAACCGATGTCCGCCACAACGCGTCCATCTAACAGCTATCACGACCTCGGTAAACCGATAAACGTGATATAGATAACATACTGCCTTACACGATTGTGTACTCTCGATCACCACCCCCTTTTTATGTCTACTTATCCGAATATCCGTCAAGCACGACTTAACCTCTTCTAACCCCGATCTCGCCATTTTGGTAGCACGGCATCGTACAACCACAACATTCGGTAACATAAAAGGTGCCATCATCAACGTCTACACCTTTAGGAAATCTGCAGATGTGTGTAACTCGTTTAACATTTCAGTGACCATTTGCTTTATTAGGCATACATAATCTATCAGGTTTTTCATTTTTGCTTGATGTGTTCGCCACATTTATCTATACGATAGGAATAGATGAAAAAAAGAACAAATAACTATTAACTCTTTTGAAAGTAAATGATGAATTGAAAATTGTCTCCATGGTATACTAGATATTATAGCAATACTAATACATAATCAAATATTCTTAAAATATGAATTATAGAACATGTACTGTCGGACTGACGACCTGCAAATAGACTATTCAGAATCATTTTTAGTTTAGATATTAGGTACGATGGTTTATTATTGAGTTCTAATTACAACAGTACCTACAGTTAATCAATAACGAGACAGTTCGATTCTTATTAGAACTATCAAACTGCACAACAGCTTGCTCGGTTTTAATATCGTCTTCAAAATTCTATCATTCTTCTGAGAATCACATATTAAATCATCATGTCACTATGTTTTAAATATTAAAAAATTATGTTTAAATCGTATTTTGAAGAATTATACAGAGTTTTTTATTACTATTTTTGACATGGGTACGAGTATAGTAAGGGTAAGTATATTCTCGAGTATAAAAGTTACGCAATTACACAAGATAGAAACTCATTGAGTTACATGATGTAATAATTTAACAAGATAATAAAAAATTAGCCACTCAGAATATCCACTTACTATCCGGCAAACCATAAACGATCGTCGTTGCAAGATTCTCGTATGTTCACAAAACGACGGGTAATTATCAATTTCACGCTGAAATATGTGGACTACTGGACTAGTCTTTTCATCGTGGCTGATGAGTTATGACGACTCCACATTTGCACCTGAAGGGAACGATGCACATTACAGAAATGATCCTGTGAAGTATGATCTTAATTTAAAAATGGCGATTTGCACACACATATAACAAAAACCCTCTCTTCGATACGTCAGTTGAAAATTAATAAAACTCGTACATTAGGTAAATATCGAATATAATACTGTTTTTTATTTTACTCTTCGATTATATGATAATATAATCGAAGTACATAAGACTGTGTTAGAAATTTATAAAATATTTTTTTTGGTTTATATTATTAAAGTAAAATCACAGATTTATTACGATTTTCAATAGATACAAAAACATTTTAGAAAATCGCTATTTATCGAATTGGAAGTATGCATCAGTTGTAGGTATTGTTCAAAATGTCTTCGATTTGGTTTTTGTTTTTTTTTCTTAATCCGATAAAAATAATTTCCCAAAACATTCATATAATATATAATTATATTACACTATTGTTCTAATAACCATCTGATCACATGTCGGAGTTTAAACGTTCACTGAATAAATTGTCAAAATTACACAAAATCATTGTTAACAATATTCTTAGGATACGGCTAGACGGGTTACGGACTCACCAGTTACCACTGATAGGTATACTCACTATATTTTACAAAATTTATTTATTGAGTCCATTGAGAAAAGAAGGTTAAACAAAATAGATTATACTTCAATAATACCACCGAAAAAATTTAATTTAATCTACTATATGGTAGTATTTTAGTGGTAATCACGGTCTTAGAAGATATTCTACCACAGAATGAACAAAATTAACACATACATAGCAGATTATTGCTGTGATGTTACATAATCTGTAAGACATCTCAATTTTATATTTACTAAATTGAGTTAAGTAAGTTGTGAAAATCCAAACTTTTACTACAGTATAATTCAATATATTTTTTTCATATATTTGTAATTATCAAAAACAATTTATACATAAAAATTATTACAAATAATAATACAAAATATAATAATCAACAGTCTTAACAAAATCATCACATAATTTAATAGGACAATTCAGACTTGATAGTTACAATGGAATATTAGTAATGGAAGAACATTAGAAATTGTATTTTTATAAAAAATTACAATATAATAATACAAAATATTTTAAAAGTTTTGTTTGTTTGTATTTGTGCTTATAATTATTAAAATATTGAAACATATTCAATAAAACAAATTTTTTAAATAATTGTATGATACTACTACTCCTTAAAACATGATCTGCTTTAACCTCTACAACCCTTTTAATTTAATTGGATAATAAAATATTCATATTTTATTCGTATACATATATTATATATTTTATCGTATCACCGAACTTAATATTAATTTAAGTTATTTGAATAAGATGAAATATTAGTAGACCTAAATTAGATGTAAATATTTTTATTGCGAAGGTTGCAAGTAGCACAAACAATAACAAACTTTTACAACAAATAACAATCAAGTTTTAAAAAGATCATTAGAATTTAGAATTTAGAAACAATCAGTGAAAAAAAATCCAGACATTCCAGACGAGCTATATAAAATATAAATATTCCAATATTGCAAATTAACAGTGTAGGTACCTACAAACCACATAAAACTTAAAAAAAGGGAAATATCTGTTTCCTGGCAGCACGTTTAATTTCTCAAAATGACGGACCGTTTTTGGTTAAGTCTTAACTCTTAAGATTAAGATACCGTTCTGTTTATTCCACAGATATATACTAATACTAAATAGTATATATCTGTGGTTTATTCTGTCATTCTGTGGTATAATTGAGACATTTTATCAACCTATCTTTTTATAGTATATGATTTTAATATTTTTAATTTGTAATTTAAATAATTGAATTAATTTTTTGTTGAAATAAAATTATTCAAGTTTATTAATGTTTAAATTTATACACATATTTTATTTGAAAAATATTTGTTTTGTGCTCAATACATATTTGCTGGAACTTATTTTCTTTCTTTAGATTTCCCAATAAAAGACGAAGTTGCCAAAGTTTTGCTAAATGCTTGGGGGAAATCAAATAAAAATATTAAAAATGGTGAGATATACAGTCAGAATAACATTTATTCATCTGTAAATAATATATATTTTTAAGATTCTATTCAAGCTTATTTATTTAATTTTGAATTTAAGACATTTTAAGTCATATAATTCTTAATTATTCACTAAAATGTTTACAGGAACTAATACCATGTGTTATTTTCACAATAATTATTATTCACACTACATTTTAAGAAATGAAATTAAGTATAAACTTGTAATTATTACAAGTATTCAAAATTCATAGTAAATGTAATTATAGTAATGACAGTATTAATATTATCATCACAGAACAGTCGGAATAAAACATATATTTAGTGCCATTTTAAAGCAAAATTATATTTAAGATTAATAACTTCTTTGATGAGTTATTTAAATATTTACTCTTTGTTTCTAAAAAATTTAATTTTTGTCAGCAGAAACATTCTCCTACTATTTACAATACCATTAGTATGGATCAATCTGAATTTGCAATGAAGAATGAAAGTCACCATTCTGTTAAAAATGAAAATGACATTTATTATGATGTTCCTCTTTTAAATTCTGTAAAAGAGGAAGTTGTCTGGTGTTTTGATAATGGTGACAGTGATAAATTTCTTCTTATAAATAAGTAAGGCTTGTATTAATTTATAATAAATGTGCCCTAGATTTTGATTAGGTAATATTTATATTTTTATTAATTTAGCAGTATTAATAATACTGTACAAATACCGAAAAAATGTACAGGAGAAGACTGTCAAGTTAAAACTGAAGTTTGTGTATTAAATAATATAGAAACAGATAGTCGTTCCATTAAAGTAGAATCTGAAGATTTAGATAATAGTTTTCAAGCATAGTGAGTGAATTAACATGTTTTAACCTTTTATACTTTTTTTTTATATTATTAACTGCTACAAGCTTATTAAGTAGTACTTAATACAGTTGTGCAATTGTGCCAAATAGTGGCACATTCTTAATGCTTATATGATGGAGGATCAGCAAAAAAAAAAATTAATCTATGTATGAAAAAAAAATGTTTTAACATATTTATAATGTTCTAAAGATAATAAAAAGATATAAGTGTATGGAAATTCAATTTTTACCTAAGGCTTTAAAAAAAATATTATTTTAAATTAATTAATTTTTAAAATAAAAGAATATGGGAAAGTAAATAGCTATCTGATAACTAGGTCACTCCATTTGTGTATACTCATAATACCTGAAGAATCCTAATTTAAACTTATTTTGTAATCTACTAGTTGTTTATATATATATATATATTTTTACAATCCTTTTTAAATTGTTAATACCATTAATATTAATACTCAATATATATTTTTATTAAATCACTTAAAAACTGTTATCTTTCAGTGATACTGTTTTAGGAAAAGAAACCGATAATTTTAAATTAAAAATGGAATACGATGATAAAACAGTTATAATTGAAAAAGAAACACTTGGAGATACTGTATTTGAAAGTGAAATTGTTATTGAAAAAAATGAAATACTTTCAATTTCAAACGAAGAAAAATGTATTGCTGGTTATTATTCTGATTTAGTTGATTTACCAAGAACAATTTATAAGGACTTAGTTAATTCTGATTATAAATCTGATAAAAATAAGAGTAAAAGTGAAAAATACATTTATACTTGTGATTTATGCCATCAATCATTTATTAGTAAAAAGTTACTAATTTTTCATATGAAATGTCATTTCCCTAACAATGATTATTGCTCAAATAATAATTCCAAAAGTTATCAAATATAAACAATTAAAATGTAAAAAGAATATTTGTGTGCAAAATTTGTTGCAAACAATTCAATGATCAATCTAATTATCGAAGACATACAATAAATCATGTTAATACAAATAAATTTAAATGTCGTTTTGTGAGAACATTCACTGTTGAATATAATCTCAAAGTTCATATTAGATTACACACTGGTGAATCCCCATATAAATGTGACATTTGTCATTTAACATTTTATCGTAATGACATTATGTTAACACACAGAAGAATTCATGAAGAAAAACATAACATATGATTGTAAGGATTGTCTCAAACCGTTTTTATATAAAAATTCTTTATTGCGTCATGCTAAAATTCATCATATGGAAAATATTTATTCGTGTTATCATTGTCAAAAAACATTTACACGAAAAGATTCACTTATTGTTCATTTGAGATCAAAACATACTGGTGAGAGCCTTAAATGCCAAATTTGCGAAAGATTTTTGAGACAGTGTTCTTGCGCATATGATGATCCACAATAAGAGAAAAAATAAGTTTAATCATAAAAAAAAAAATGTATAGTTATATTAATGATATAAGTATGTTGTACTAATAAGAATGAAAAAAAATACATTGAAAGTATGTACGCCTTAGTAGTCAATTTGTTTCTTATTTGTATGACTATCAACATTTATTAAAATAAATTGACAATTAAAAACACATTGTGTAATAGTGATCATAATAAATGGAAAAATATTAAAACTTGACATTTTTTTACATTTTAATTATTTAATTGTTTTTTTATACTTACCTTTTTCTCAATATTTTACCAAAACATATATATTTTGAATTATCAACATGAGCCATGACCTTTGATAATAAAGCTTTGTTCGGAATTGTTTTATGAATGGTACTAAATTATAATGTAATTGCTTGCAAATTTTATATTATCACCTATAGAACAATACTGTTTCATATTAAGTTGAAAAAACGATAATAGTCACAGATATATAGACTGTTTTCTGCCAGTCACATATTCTATACATTAATTGAAAAATTTCATTAACTTACATCTAATGTAATTAAAACACAAAAATATTTTTAAAAGGTTATTTGGTTGGTAATTTTTATTTTAAACTTAATTACAAAAATATTAAATTATTTTGTCCATAAATTTTATAATAGAATAATATTTTTAGAAATAATTCAGTCGTCACAATAACTCAAATCTCAAGAAGGATAAAAATTAATTTTACTTATGTATTATTTGAGTTACATTCTTCAAATATAACTTATAG